TTTGAAAGCTCTTCAACTATATAAAAACTTTAAATCTAGATTGATTACTGCTGCAATGCATACAGTCAATTGCAATACGTTGTGCATTGAGATATATGGTAGCGGAGCTCCACAGCTAAGAAAAAAATGGTATTTTTCATGGACCGATACAGGGCTCCCGCGCTTACGCACGTTTCCGTCCGTCTGTCCTTCTTTCAGTCTGTGTGTACCACCGCAGGAAACCCATACTCCGCGAGAAAATAAAAAAAAACAGAGTGTCTAAACGTCAGGCAGTCTAGTTTTTTCTTATAAAATCGTCGGAACAACCGTAATTTCAATTAATACAWYAARGRAAATGCAATTAAGACYGAAATAATACTGTTCGACAAGTTTCAAACACAAGCACGGCATTTTGAGATTTTCGACTGCCTGACGTTTAGTCCCAGAACTAAACGTCAGGCTGTCGATTTTAGTTGTGAAAAATCGTCGGAACAACCGTAATTTCAATTAATATAACAAGGGAAATGCAATAAAGACCGAAATAATACTGTTCGACAAGTTTGTATAGTCACAAGCAAGGCACTTTGAGATTTTTTGACTGCCCGGGTGACTGCCTGACGTTTAGTCACAGAACTAAACATCAGGCAGCAAATTTTTTTGTGAAAAATCGTCGGAATAACCGTAATGTCAATTAATACAAGAAGTGAAATGCACTAAAGACAATAATACTGTTCGACAAGTTTCAAACGCGGGAAGCACGGCATTTTGAGATTTTTCGAGTGCCTGACGTTTAGTCCCAGAACTAAACGTCAGGCAGTCGATGTTTTTTTTTTTCTTGAAAAATCGTCGGTTCAAACGTAATTTCAATTAATACAACAAGGGAATGCACTAAAGACCGAAATAATAATATTGGACAAGTTTGTATGGTGAAGGGAAACAGGGCGTCGAGCATGAGAGCAATGTTGTTTCTTACATCAATTTGATATTCGAGGAATTATTTTGACACCCTTTCACTAAGGGACCGTTCATTATTTAATTCGGAGGGGGTTGCAGAAAAAAATGGGGGACCCTGAAATAATTTAGTTGAACTGAAAATAGGGGGTCTTGAATGTTTAAAATCATAGTTTTGGGGGGTTTGAGAGTACATAAAATCAATACTTTTTCAAATAAGTGTTTATTACTCTCTCTTTATGGATTCTTTGAAATTTCTCGGTACCTTGTTTGAATTGCATAGAAAAAATAAGCAAAGCTGTTAATATCTAGAGACTTTATGCCGTAAAAACTATGCAATCAAAACCTTTCTCTTCCAACGTATTTACACATAAGGTTTAGGTTTTGACATTAAAGTACATATAAATGTCTGGAAATTGTTGTGGATTAAAAGCCTCCGAATTAAATAATGAATGTTACCTAAATTATGTCATGTTCTGATGGCTGAATGAAGAGGAATTTAACATTAGTTTGATATGCCCGTACCTGAGCCCCAACCATCCTAGAATTAGCCACAGCTTGTTCGTAAGGAATCGATGCACCACGTCCCCAATCAACTTGAATGACATTCAGATCAGCTGTTGTTAGAAGAGCATGTCGGATGCGGTTCATCCACGGGATTTGTCCATGCTCTGTGAAATGTTTCATGTTGAGAGAAAAAAGGATATTAAGTTCATTTCCATTCCTAAAGGTCTTCATTCAAATGAAATATAGAGTGAATAGAACGAACAAGGTTATCATAAGAGAATAGAAGACAAAAAACGTAAATAAATAGATCTATTTCAAACAAATGAAATGAAAGAATCTGGAGAAAGGAAAGAAGAAAGGAAGAGAAAGGAAAATGAAAAGAAACAATAAGGGACGAAACGAAGCCGCAAGCCTGGTAAAAACCAATGGACAAGAAGACGAAAGAATAAATCATAAACAAACGACCATGAAACGATTGCAAAAGAGGAATCGCATCAAACAGATAAAAGTTGAACACAAGCATGAACAGACGACCGAACTGTGAACAAAATTCAACATGTTTCCCTGATTTTTATAAGCATTATGAGGACTGAAATAAGCTCAACTAAACCCTACCTATAAAACCATGAATTATCAATATTGTTCTCTTGGATGAGTCGTAAGGTGAGTTAGAAATCTTATTCGCATCCTGGTTATCAATGATCACAGACATGGCGCGGTTAGCTCGGGTGTACAGACGATAAGTTGTCCCTATTAAATCTGCCGAGTTCGGGAATGGAATCAATGGACGCTTGAACGGTGGATCGTTGTGAAAGCAACCATAAGTCGGATAGCAGATACCACGCTCTATATAAGGGGATAGATCAACTACTTTTAGATCAGGTGTACAGAGGGGAAGAAGATCGAAAGCACTGTTTTAACTTAATTGAATTAATTAATTAATCAATCGATCAATCATTCTATCAATTACTGCCAATGCAATAAACTATTTTATCATACAATTATTTATGAAGAATCTATATTTCTTACATCGAATAACTGTTTTTACTAGTGAAAACACAATTGAAAACAATAATTTACTTTCATAGATAATAAAATAATAAACAGAATATTACATGGTCGCTTGGAGATACGACTTTTATGTCCTCGTGTTGAAAATCGCCACGCTCACTCGTGAGAGATCTTTTCAGCACTCGAAAGATAAAATACGTTACCTCCGCGCGCCCATGCAATATCATCTAATTGACAGTAAAGACAAACACCGAACCAAGTGAGTTTTTTAAGTCTGTTTTTGTACACTTGTTCATCTGTTTGGATAACAACACTACCCTTGATTTAATTTATTCGACCAAAATCTGAGGATGTTTAACATCGGAAATCCTTGACTTCTGTTTTCACTCAATCAATGGCACCCAATATTTTCCAGTTTTATAGTTTCCTTTCCATCATTAACTTTTTATGAAATACTCTGTACTTATTTACCAACTCTAGGAAACTCTTATTTTACCCGTTCAATTCCTTTTAAGATCAATATCTCCACGTGCCTTCTATTTCTTTAATTTTTAGAAGTGATTTCGGTTGATTTTCTTCCCAAAACGATCCCTACTGAACCTATCAGTACAATGACGATAGTGTAATAATGCAATCATCAGGATTAGTTCGTATGACGAAAAGGACTTAGATAGGGACAAAAGCATAATTATTACAAAAAAAAACATTTTTTGTCTTTGTTTATGGTTATGCCAAAGTGCAAAAAAAGGAAAAATCACAGTGTTTGATGAAAATCTTTTCCTCCAGTTTATTTGCCTCCTATCGCGCATCGGAGTAAAAATGCATAGTGAGCCTCAATCAAATAAAAGTAAGCCATTTTTAGAAGTAAAATTTTATTTTTAATAATTATAGCTTCAACAAAGTCATTGCTTGGGCTCCCTGTGATTTATCGCGCGCGAAAAATATAATGACGTAATGTATCGTAGATGACATCATAATGACATTGACGTCATGATTCATTTCATTAATTGAAGCTAGCAAACAATTCAAAGCTTTGTATCAAAAATGGATCCTGAAATAATCAGCAATTATTTGTTTGAAATATACTCATGTATCGCTTGGAGCGGCTACAACGGCCATTGTTGTAACGATTTATTATCGTCGCAATGGTTTCAGAATTGCTTCAACCATCAAAAAAGGTGAGATGTTGTCTTCAATTTCCACAAATGAATTACAACAAAACTGACAGATTATTTCTTGTTTACAGAAATCACAGATCGTTCCACAGGATCGTCTAAAGTTAGGTACCATCGAACTGTCAAGGTTGTAAGTAATTCTCGCACTTCGCATCAGAATAGCGAATCAATGGCAAAATCTAGTTCAAAAATCCACAAAATGACAGAAAATTCTAGTTCTGACTCGGCAATGAGCTTTGATTCGGATGACCCCGAGTACAAGTATATTCCTGGTATCGTAACATTGCCGCTAAACTACCACGAAGAATGCGAAAACGTTGAGACATCGACGATTGTTGCGTGCCGTTCGAGGGAGAGCCGCTAGCTGAATAAGTACGGTTTGAAGACTATTAGAAAAAGGAGATCGAAGAAAATCTTCGTAAGGAATTATAGCAAAGACTAGATTACAAAGAAAAGTTTCTCAAAACGCACGAGCTTTGATTACGCTTCCTGGACATTAAATTATACTGTAAACTTATGTTTATTTTTTGTATCACTAGGTGCTTATGTGGACAAAACTGTACAGCACTCTTGTTACAAAATGTTTTTGAAGCTTAATGTTTTAAAGAGATCGACTGATGCGTTGCGATGCGATGAATGCAACTTAGTCGACGTAAGATTCGAAGCAGCTACAAAGTCAATCCTGGCTTGTCTTCGCTTTTTATAGGCATTGTTCTCTCGTCTTTTTCAAAAGGAATTTGAAATAAAGTTTTTCTATAAAGTTGGCGACACAACATCGAAAAACCATTGCATAAAAAAGTAAAAATATTCCCTTCGAAGTAAATAAATGTCAAGCTTTCTCAAGTAGGTGATAGATGTTTTTGAGCCGAATACGCATGCCCGTAAGCCTAAGTTGACGTCACAGCTGACCTTCGACCCACTTCCAACCTAACACAGGCTACCCAAAAGCGCACATTCAAACTCAAATATCTCGCTCAGAATTTATCTAACTGAGCTCAAAAATACATCATTTGAAAGCTCATGTTTTATAGAATTTGTTCAAAATGTTCCATTTTTAGGGGTGATGTGCACTTTAA